TTTATTTATTTATTTATTTGCAGCATCTCTAGTGTGCACACCTCGGTCTCTCCTTTTCCCTTTGCACATTCTTGACCCCGTGGGGGGTAGGGAAATGCTGCCGAAAATTTCAAAAAAATAAATATTGTTTCTCTTCACATCTTTTTACTTATTTCTTTACTTATTTTAATTATTTATTATTTATTTATTTTCTTATTTATTTTATTTCCTCTCGAAATCTCGTTGTTCATTTATTTTTGTCCCGTCTCTCCCCCCCCCCAATGCTTGCTATTTTACTTTCTTGATAGGTTACCGGTACCCTACCCTAGCCTTAAACCTCGGTTAGGGTTTTCTTAGGGGTTTTGTAGGGTCTAGGGTTCTTGAAACCCCCCCCTACTTCCTCGTCCTCTTCGGGCACCCTCGACCCGAACCACCCCTCCCCCTTTGACGGCGCCCGTGCTAGCCTTGCTAGCGCCGTTTGCCGCTTTCTATCGCGGACTTCCCCCTACGCCCTCCGCTCACGCGGACCTCTTCTGGCCCCCTCCAGTCCGGTCCGTCATCTCCCCATGGCCGACGGTGCGTCATACGCCGTCGACACGGCGATGACCATGGCATCGGGCTCCACACCCGTGCCGGCGGACCAGGGCCATCAGCCCCAGGGGGATCTACACACCCTCCTCACCTCCCTCCTTGCGCCCATCCAGGCGCAACTCGCAACCCTCGCGCCCATCCAGGCGCAACTCGCGACCCTCGGGCCCTTACAGGCGCAGGTGGCGACCCTTGCCGCCAGCGTGCAGCAACTCCAGGACGCTGGTCGTCCTTCCTCTCCTCATCCTCTCTCTTCTCCTTGATCTCAGTCCGGGTCCCCAGTTCTCCGACAGGGTGGCCACGACGAAGTTTCCTCCTCTGCCGCCCCCGACCCGGCCATTTTGGTGACCGTCCACGCACCTAGCTCGACGGCCGCCACGAGTCAGGCCCTTCCTCAGTCTACGGGCGCACCGGCCCAGATTCCGGTTACGACGGCCACGGGACCACAACCCGTTACCATGGTCTCAGCGTTTCCAGGTGCCCCGCTCCTCCCCCCCCTTCGCATGACCGTAGCGCCACCTGGCTCTCCCCCCTCTGGGATGCCCCGCGACGCTTGTGCATCCACTTCCTCCACTCTTCCCCCTGCTACCCCTCGCACGACCTACGTTCGAGGTCTCGAGGAAGAGATTGCCCAGCTCCGGGCCAACATCGCCCTCTTACGCCTTCAGCCACCCCCACCCTCACAGGTGGTTGCGCCTTCGGGCGCACCCCCTACCTCCTCTACCCTTCCTCCCATGCAGGCTCGCTTTCCGCGCCCTGCACCCTATACAACTCCTTCCTACCTTCTTCCTACTCCCGCGGTTGCTGCGACCTCTTCTAATGCAGCACCCTCGCAGCCTGTTGCTGTTGCCACCGCCGCTCCCCCATGCGGCCCGGGCGCACAGTCAGTTGCGCCCCTTTCTCCAGGACCTGCGCCGACTTACTCAGCCGTGGCACAGGCCTCCGCTCCTCGATCCCCTCACCGCCAAAATGGTGGCGCGCCACTCATCCGCTTGTCGGACATTGCCTTGTATGACGGTACAGGCATACGCGTGTCTCGGTGGCTGCAGTCTGCCACCCGCACACTCCAGCTCATGGGCGCCACACCCGAGACGTGGGTGGGTCACCTCTCCACGCGCCTGCGTGGCGGTCCTTTCGAGGCCCGGGAGGATTTCTATGCCTACTCCCTTCGTGGATTCCAGGCGTTCCTCGAGGATCGCTTCGGAGCCCGATATGACGTGACTGACGCCTTCGAGCGTGTCGTCACTACACGCTGGTCTGGCTCTGGTGGCGCTGCCGGCCTGAATCGCCACATCCAGGTCTTTCAGGACGCCCGCCTCGTTTGCGACGTAGCGTTCCTCCCCGAGGCTGCCCTTATTGATCGTTTCTTGGCCAGCCTTCCG